TGCCTATAAGCATTGTGTGTCTTATGTTACTTAACTTGAATCGTTCGTCACAACTGTTCTGACACAGCTGTTTACCATGTCATACTAAATATATCTAATTTTCAGCTTAATATAGAGTGACTTACTAAAACAAAAATTCAGTATTTGGACAGAAAAAAAATAAGAATTAAAAAATTCAGAAGAACAATTTATCAACAAAAAATGAGGCTACACCAAACAGATTGTCCAAATATATTTTGATTTTTGCTTCAAAACCAGCATACTTGTCATCAATATTACTTCATCTAACGAAGTGCACATATTGTGGTGCACTTAGCTGTAGTATTTAGTTTAGAATTTAATTTTGTTTATTGCCTTTTTTTTTTATAGACAGAGAGAATCCAGAAGTAGAGATGTTCTTTTTCACTAATATTAAAATCAGGAATAAATACAACAGTTGAGTAACCATTTTAATTTTTTGCCTGAAAATTTGTATGGCACCACAGCTGAATTGTTGCATTTTCTCATTTCGAAAAATAGTCTTTGCATAAAATAATGAACAGCATTTGAATATCTGAATCACAAGCCTATTTCCAATTGCTGCTCCTGAAAAGGAGTCCAGCCTTTTATGGAACCTTTTTTTCAGGCTGGTACATGGTGTGCTACTTTTTTTAAATAAAAAAAAAAATGGGGAAAAAAGAAAAAAGGCTGTTTCCAACACTGTCTGCACTACTGTAATGTTTTGATTTAGTCGTGCCAGGTGATTTGGGGGCACAATGTAAATGTGAGGTTCTTTGTTTTCCCTGAACTTCCGAGTGATTCCTGGGCTCTGTGTGGTGTGAGTGGCAGTTCTAATGGCCCTGTACATTGTAATCATGTCAGGATCATTACAAAATGCAGCAAACAAGCCCTTACTTGAGTTAGATAAATGTATGAATCAAATTTAAATTTACAGAGAGTTTTAGCATAAGCTTCTCTAAGCCATTAAAATTCATCTTGAGCCCTCCCTCCATGCCTCCTATTGATTTGCCTGTGCTAACACAAAGAGGAGTGGTCCGTTTTTTTTAAAGCCCCTAAACAAAAACCTATTTTTCATTTCTCTTCTCCTCAGCTTTTTCTTCTCTTGTCCTCCCTCTTTGTTCCCCCTTGTCTCTGTTGTCCTGCAGGACGTGCAGTGTTTTAATGCCCTTGCACTGCCCACAGTTACACTCAGGCTCTCATTAGAATTGCCCAAGTCATGGGCAGGTACACAGTTGCTTTATAGGACCACAGTAAATCTTATATTGGATGAGTTGTGAGTCAGAAGTGTATTACACATGTGTAACTTGGGGCACATGGGGTCTGTGTACATCAGCAGCAAGTACAGCTGAGCTATTCATTGCTTTAGATTGGCTGCTATGGCTGGTCCAGATCAGCTGAGACTGTATTCCTGTGAAACTTGGCCAGCCCTCTAGCAGGACATTATAAATAATAAATATTTTCTGAATAAACACCTTTCTCAGAAAGTTAGTCAGAGCTCCTGTGTTTCTGAAATAATTAAACCAAAACTAGATGAGAAAACATTTGAAGCCACTTGTTAGTGGTTGTACTGCTCTGTAGTGTAAGTGGGTCAGGATGAGCTGTATTAGTTAAATCCTTTGAAACAAAAGAAATTACTAAATCAGTTATGATTTAGGTCAATGACTCAAAATAAACCATTCACAGAGTGCCCTTGAGACAGACAAGTCAAAGAGTATCAGGAGTTCTGAACTCAAATTGCATTTCACCATTATTATCTAAGCAAAGCTATCACACCTTGCCTTTCCAGGAATACAGTACATAAATATTTCACACTCTAACAGGAAAGGTGTTTAGCACTGAATTGAATCAGTATTTAATTTATTTCACATAAGAATGAAAAAAAAAAAAAAAAGGAAATAGCTTTTCTAGGAGTGTTTCCCAACTTAATTGACTGTGTTTTAAGGCATGTATGGTGATACTATTGTCTAAATTTTGAGAATGGTTTGAGCATGATGCTCTGGAACTGGTTTCTGCCCGGCTGCTTTAAGTTCAAATAAATCCCCAAAGCGCAGGTGAGGAGGAGAGATTTATCCCTGAGAATATTTTGTTGTGTTCAGGTAGATGTATTTACTCTCAGATGCTTGGGATTTGTCCTCAAGTAATGCAAAAAATAAGGAAAACAAAAAAATAAAACTATTCTAAAAATATGAAAATGACGTTGCACTAAATTTCCAATAAAAATGTTATCATTTTATCTACAACATTTGAAGGAGCTTTTAAAATTAGTAAAGTTCAAGAAATTTTTCATAGTCTGATGTCATAAAATCAAGTTACTCACCAAGTTCTTCTGATGTCTGATTCTTGTAACAAGGTTTTTCCTTATGAAAGATCCAAGTAAAGATCTTGGGACATTTCTACGTTTATTTTCTTGTGTTAGCCAGTTGCAGTTACTGTAGCACAGACATTGTGCCTCACATTCTGCATGTATGGATGACTGAGGAATCTTTCTAGGCATGATCAGAAGTGGAACACTGTCTTACCATTTCCTTTTATATTTGTATTTGTCGAGGAATTGCACAAAACTCTAAAAAATAATGGTTATTGAGGGAACAATTTCAAAAACTCTTGTCTTCCTGAGATGATACTTTCATAAGCTAATGTCCTGGAAATACTCAGAAGTTTTATCTCAGTCAGACTAAATCCTTCTTTTAACTACAGTAACAAGGAATTAATTGTTGTTTCAGAAACAATAGAAATCAGGCCAGACAGCTTTAAGTTTAGCAGTCATAAAAACAAAAAGCTGTTTGTTTATCTGAGCTGACAGACAATATAGAATTCATATGGAATGACAGGCTTTTGTGCTGAATAGCATCATGAGGGCTCCCAGAGAGTAATTGGCAGGTTTTGCTCCATGCTGTAGTGTCTGTGTCTGTTTCTGTGTTTATAATTGTGGTATATTCATCTCTGGATTTGATGAGGGAGTATTAAAATGGGATCAGTTAGCCAGGCATTGTTAATATAGATGATCATATATCTCCTGAAACTTCAAGAAACTCCTTATGGCACCAGTGTAAAAATGCTTTACAGTTAACATGCTTTCCAGTTCCATCAGTATTACAGCACCAAAGAGTTGAACTAAAAAATTTAGATATGGGGGAGTCAGCTTAGCCACTCCATGTTCAGAGAGCTGAGAAACAGGAATGTAAAATTTCTCTTTAATCTGAAGTTATAAAACGAACCTTAATGGTTTCAAGTGCCAAATGTCTCTGCCTTTGTTTTGGCTTTTCTGTAGGTGTTGTTTTGTGACTTTTTTTCCTCTCTGAAGTGTTAAAAATAAATGAAAAAGAAAAAAGTAAGCATGTTTACAGTTCTTATTCCTCACAGATTGCAGAATACCTGTGGGTGGTTTAAAGCAGCTGTTTCTCGTGGTTACCTAACTTCTTTAAAATACAGAAAGAAAAAAACCCTAAAAACCAAAAAACCACAACAAGGCTAAATGTCAAATCTAAATGAAGGCAAGAAACCTTTTCTCTAGGTCACCAGCTCCTCTGGCCAAGTACATTTATTCCCTCTTAGGCCCATTAGCTGTTTCAAAAAGCAATGATTTAGCCAATACTTGTGCCAGTGCTGTGACCTCCTCTCCTGCAGGTGCAAGCAGTTACCACAAGGAAAGGCTTGGCTGTCTTCTGCCTGTTTTATCATCCTCTGCTGCAGTTTGTTCCATAGGTGGCACAAGGAGTCACTGCTGAAATGCCTCGGTGGTTTAAGCAAAGCTTCTGGCCCTGGGCACGTTCTGCTGGGTGGGCTTGGCAGGGGAAACCTGGATTGAGAGGGCACAGGGACAAGGAAAAGCTCTTCAACTGTCCCAGCTAATTCACCCAAACCATCCTTCAACTCCCGAGCCATGTTTAGAAAAGCAAGATGTTTTGTTCCAATTTTTGCTTATTAGCAAATCTGAGTACTTTTTTATGTGGGAATATTTTATTTCCAGCAAAAAGTATTGTCATGAGGATTTCTCAGGACTAGCACAGACCTGGGCATAGAATGCCATGAGAGAAGGACATACATACTAATACCAGCTGAAAATAATTAGTACCCTAATTACCAGTGGGTAGGGTGTTTGTGCTTTTACTGTATTTCTTCCTTTCTACAGTGGCTTTCATTTTTGCAGTTTTTGTATGCTAACAATGCATATATTAAAGTCTATATGCCACAGTAAGGGTGTCCTAATTAAGCACACTGTAAAAAACTCTGTGGTCCATTGAACAAGAAGAGATTTAGACAGTTTTCAAGAGCTCTAAGTGCTGAGTTGGATCAATGGTCAACTTGAGGGGTGGTGAAGAAATTCATGCAGTCACGCTCTGGGGTGCACAAGAGCAGCCAAGCCCCAAAGTGTACTCAGACACTCACAGACACACAGGAATGTCAGGGCTGGGATGGACCTCTGGAGAGACCTTGTCCGCTTTCAGAGCAGGGCCTTGGATTAATATTAACCAGGGGCCATAAAATCAGTTGCTGCTGCTTGTGAACACATTGTTAAAGGATAATGTACAGCTCTGTAATGCATTAACACTGAATAGGAATAATCTCCTCTTTGGAACTCTCCTGAAGGCTTCAGTCTTAATTGCAAGCCTTCCTGCAGGAAGAATGGAAATAATTAAAGCTGGTTTGAGTCTACTTTTCTTCTGTTGCATAACTGAAACAAATATTGCTCTGTCAGTTCCATGTTGTTACCGGAGTTCAATCAAAAGATGACAGTGTTGTTATTTTATCATTGTTCTTTAAACTCTTTGATGATGTGATAATTTAGATAGAATGCAATTATCTTACAGCATTTAATTTTTTGCTCCTTACCCATTCTGGTCAATTATTTCAATATGTTAGAGGATGCATGATGTGGGCCTTCCCTTTCTTCTCAGTCTATGCCACATTGTTCTTCAGGCACAAGCCAGGGAAAGAAGAATAAAACAAAACATCATGGCAGCATTACTTACTCCTTTCTCATCCTTTCACATTGCTAGGTGGCAGTGAGTGACCCCAAAGAGAAGAGTGGCTCTCCTGGCAGCGCTGCCTGGCTCCGGAGGATGGACATCAAGGACAGGAGGCACCGCTCGCTGACGCGGGGCCGCTGCGGGAAGCAGTGCCGCTACACCAGCTCCTCGCTGGACAGCGAGGACTGCAGGGTGCCCACACAGAAGTCCTACAGCTCCAGTGAGACCCTCAAGGCCTATGACCACGACAGCAGGATGCACTACGGCAACCGAGTGTCTGACCTGGTGCACAGGGAGTCGGATGAGTTCCCAAGACAAGGTACGTTTGCAGTCAGGACTGGTTCCTGTCATGGCGCTCCTCAGTGCACAGTCTGTTCCTTGTTAAAGCATCTCAGTGCTACCAGGAGTTTTATGAAAGAGCTCTAGGAGAATGGATTTTATCTTAAATTAGAAAGTTCTTTCTTCTCTGAGTTCTGGTAGTTTTGAAATCCACAATTTGTAAGTGAGCAAACTGAGATTCAGTGATCAAAACATCTGATAGACGCAAATGCCATGGCCCTTAACCAGAGGATGTCTTTTTCACAGATATTGGGGTTAGCCAATGTGATAGCTTGGGATCCTGTTTGCTAGGCTAATTTTGGAAATTATAATGGCATTTTCACCTAAATGTGTCTCGCTTTAACACAGATTCTGTACTGAAAAGACAACTAAAACACTGTTATGGTAAAAGCCCATATGGCCCATATACACTCATTATTCATCAGGTGCCTTGGAATTCCTTTCCTGTTCCTGAATGCTGGGTAACTGAACTTTGGGAATGGGAGTGCTGGTTCCTCTGACTTCATTTTGTCACTGCTCACCCATATTGCTCACCCTTGACTTCATAAAAACTAAAAGGAGGAAACCCATCTAATTCCTTTTTTAATTGGCTTTAATTGAGTATTGCAGCCTACAACTAATATTTTAAATAACCTGCCCGTATGAACTTGTAAGCTAGGGAAATTAATCTCTTATTTTATAAAATGGTCCTTGCTAAGTCCAATGGATTAATGAATTAACAATGTAAATGTTTTTACTTGAAAGCCTGTAAATGTGCGCTGTACATACGGAGTTTTAGTCTCATTTAGGTAGTTGTTTGTCTCAAGAACTTGCAAGTTTCTGTGCTGAAACCATTCAAACATTGCTTCATTGGAACTGTGTTTAGTCATGTAGTTTGCTTGCCCATATAGCCTGGCTAAATTGGCATTCAGTCAGTGATTAGATATGGCATTTGAATTAAAAGCCTTGGTTTAGTGTCAGTTGAAGAATCAGATGTGGTTCATACCAGCTAAGATACAGGAAGGCTTGATGGATAAATGCATGGGTTTTGTGCCCTAAAATGAAAGGTAAATCATCAGGTACATCATTGAAGAGTACCATAATTTAAATGCAGAAACTCTTCTGGTTTAACTCTTCTTGTTAACAGCATGGGATAGTTCTCTGCTGCACGTTTCTGATGTTGTGGCTTAAGGAATAGGGAGGTACCACACTTGTTGTGGAAATTCTTCAGTGGAAGGTCATTTCTAATACCTGATATCACATCACTCATCTTGTTTCGGACATTCTGACAGCAGTCAGTGTCTGTTTTCCCCTTTCAATCAAACTATCTAATAGTTAGTGTTGATAATTAAGCCCTTGTCTAATCCCTTGTTTCTCTCACATTTGTGTGCAGACATGTGGGAGTGTTTGCATTGTGCTTGGTCTGTCAAACACCCAGCTCTGTTTTCTGGGGTAATCTCTGTTCTTGGAGGTTCTTTCTTTGCTTAGAGGTGTTTATCTAAGATAAGGCATCAAAGTGCACCTCGAACCTCTGAGCTGCTGGAACCATTTTCACTGCAGTTTGTTCTACTTTACTGTACAGGAGTCATCTAAATATTACTTTTCCCTATCAGGATGATTGATGCTTCAGCTCAAGTGCCTCATTTTAGTTTGCAGGTCATTATTCAGCATTTCATAATGGTCTTTTTCTCTTGATTACTGATTTGACAACTGTTCATCCTCCCCCTGCTCTTAATGTGTTCTTCTCTGCCCTCTTTACAAAGGGGAATGCCAATTGTTGGTAACTGAATTGAAACACTCAGATTTTTTTTTATTATTATTATTGTTATTTTTTCCCCTACTTGTTTCTGTTGCTGTGTCTAAATAAATAGTGTTTATTTTAGAGAGCCAAAGTAATTTTTTTGTTAGATAATGAGCAGCAACTCCTTATTTTCCTGCTTTTGTTAAGTTTGGAAAGCAATTTTTTTAGAAAATAAGTCTGTGTGATGATTCTTTGTATTTGAAAGCTGGATATCTTTCTGATTGAACACTTTTACTGGCATGAAATTCGAGAAAATATGACAGATCTAGATTAAGATTTGGTAGCTGTTCTCACTTTCTATATTAACATTAGATGGATAAAAATGTGGTTCATATGTGGAAGTTCTGTTCATTACATCTTCCAGCTGCAGACATCTAGGAATTTATACATTTAAATTTATTCTAACTTTGAGTGGGTGTTATGATGGGATTAAATTCTGTGGGAAATAAACATGATTAAACCAGTCTTTAGAGATTTTTTTTGTTCTTCTATTAGAAAAAAGCTTGAATTTTTTAAGGAATTGCAGGTATTTTCTTCAGTATTCAGTCTCTTCTATTAGAAAAGCTAAATACTTTTGACTTAGTGCAAAATATTTAGTTTGACCATGGCACTGGAACTATTCACAGCTGTGTTGATCTGCCTGTTATAAATTACTGGGTTTAGAAAATCAGTTAAGATAAAATTGCATTCATTCTGGTTTTGTTTGTCATGGTTTGTCAGCTAAATGCTAATAACTAAAACTATATTCAGGGCTCAGAAGTCTGAAACAGTTCTTGCTAGGTTGTTTTAGTATTTTCCTGAGAGGGATGAACGTTGTTCACACTTAAAAGAAGGTTTTACCTGTTCACAGTGACTGATGGCTGCTGCTTAGAGGCCACAGCTGCTCTTGCAGGTGCTTGGGCTGACCAGGCTTTGTCTCACTGCTCTTACTCCCAATAACACCAAGGAGATCCTTGATCATCTTGTCACCAAACCTGAGTCATCCTCAACTCTTGTGTTAAAATTAATGTATCCCTTCCAAATCCAACTGAGCTTTGGCAATTACAGTTTTAATACTTCTTCTCCAGGACCTGTGACCTTTTGAAAATGAAATGTTTTGATAGATTTGGATTAAATACATTAAATAAAATTTCTGCCTAGAGTGAGAGCACATTCATAGCTTTCCTTTGTCATGCAAGGTTTTTGGGTGGCATTCTGCAGTCTGTTGATTTTCATTATATCTGTGCAGTTACATAATCAAAGGAAATTTGGGGTAGAGGCAAGGTGGCAGATTGTTTGACATGGAATCAGGTGTGGGGTGGCTTGTGTTGGAAAAGGCCTCAAGGCAGCTCCCCTCTTCTAGCCAGTGCATGTGGAACCTCCGCTTCTCCTAAAATCAGGACTTACTGTGGTTTTAATGGTGACCTGAGAGAAACAACATCCCAGTGTAAAATATATATTAGGGTCAGACAAGGCAACTCTCTTCCATTTCTCCTCTAGAACGTGTGGTCTTACTGAGAAATAAAAAATTATAATTTGTGTACCTTATTTAATAAAGGAAAGATGCTGCATAACACCTCCCTCCCTTACGTTCTCCCTTCCCAAACCATGATAAGGTTTTATTAAGTGATTTAAAAGCCTGAAAGCACTTTTCATCTGTGCTTTCATCTGTATTGAAGTTGTTAATAATGGAGCAATGTAGCAGTATTACTAAACTAGCAAATAAATGAAAGTGGAAACCTTCAGAGCAGCCTTCTGTCAATATGCTTTTAAGAAAGGAAAAGGTAAGAAAGTCAAACCCAAACCTAACATTCCTCTTCTGATTTATATTCTAATATCAGTCAAGTGTCCTTTTGAGATGTAATAGCAATAGACAGGAATTAAACCAAAACTTTGTGCATATTAGAGCTGAGTCACTATAAACACCAGAAGAAAATGTATTTAGAAGTGGGTTTTCAGGGAGACATCATGGGATTGACCTTCAGTCTTTGGGGTGCTTTCTTTGAAATATGCACACATTGTTTTCTCTTGGTATTTTGTGTATTTTGGTTGCTTTTGTTGTTGCTTTGCTTTGTAATGTTTGAGGGTTTAGTTTTGTTTGTGTCTTTTTCTTTTGATTTCTTTCTTTCCTTCTGAGCAGCAAGCTTTCTGGTTCACAAGTGGTAGTTTAAATCAGTTGTGATAATCTCTTCCTTTTCACTTCCCTTACGTTCCCCTTCCATCCTATTTTTTGGCATTTCACCATTTTACATTTTCATCCGTTCTCCCTTTGCTGGGCGTGCTGGGGTGCTCAGACCTGCTGGGCTGGCCCCTGGGAGTCAGAGCCTGACCTGGGCTGACAAAGGCTCCTCTTCATCTCTCCTCACCTGCTGGACCAGCTGAGCAGCTCTGATGGGAACTCCAGTAATAATTAATAACACCAGTGCTGGAAAACCCAGCACTATTCTAATATTAATATGTATTTGTAGAATAAACAACAGCTAGACATAGTATGAGAATTCTCTGTACACAAAGTTTCTCTCAGGGAATAACTTTTTATTCTCAGCAGTTTCCCACAGCTGATCATTATTAAAAATCAGCATTTGTTTACAGTTTAAATTAGAGACTCAGAATGCAGGGATTTCTGATGCGTATATATAAGTTTATATATAGACTTATGCTCCTTTTTTCCTCTTCTTTACATTTTTATTTAGCTTTCAAAAAAGAACTTCTATTTTTGCTGTTTCTCTACTGGACTCCTCATTAGTTGATGATTAAGTTAAATGAGGTTGTATTTTTTAAAACCATTTGCAAAGTTACATGCACATTGTATAAACCACATATAAAAGGAAAACTTCTAAAATGTAGATGTTATCAACGTGTGGTAAGACTGAATAATATTCACAGACTGAATAATAGAAAAGAAATATGAATAAAAGAAAAAATTAAAACCTCAAGTCTACTCTAAAATAGGTTTAGTAACGATTTTCATGCAAATACGTTGTCAGAGAAACTTCAAAATTAATGGGAAATATGATTTCTATGCTTCATAGTTTCAAATTTCTACCAAATAAAAGATCTTGTGTTTCAATGAAAGCCATATTTGTTGATCTTGTAGTTCTGGGGCCTGACTGGGTGTTGAACAAAACCTTTCCTTGCTGAATTTCTTTCCCCCTCATCCCTTTACTCTGCTATGTAATAGAATTCTAAGACTTTGGATACTGAAAATAATAATTTTGGAT